TCAATTATCCAACCATAGCCCCAGGTTATGAAGTATCAGCCCCCTTGCTTGCTTCCTTTCCCTTGCCATTGTTTATGCTCTTTGGGTACCAGTTGTCCTTGATTCTCTGGCTAGGAAAGGATTGTTTTGTCTATCTACCCTGTGAAGAGAACTTACTAACACCTAATACGAAGTTTCAGCAAGCAGCAGACAATCTGCAAAACATAGAAGCTAAAACCCAAGGCATCACTATGACAAACTTTGGTCAGGGGCTGAGTGCTGGGGAAGACAGCAGGCTCCTGGGGCTTCTGCAAGACCATGCACTGAAGAAAGGGGTGAGCAGGGACCCTCCAAGACCTTGGCTTTCCAGTATCCCATGTGTGAAGGAAGCTGCTTTGGGGAGGCAAAGCATTCTAGTGATGGCACCTGCAAAGCTAGGACATGGACAGGCATCCCAGGATAGGTCAGATAGGAGCTGTGCCAGCTCAGGGTCCCTGGCAGCAGTGGTGCCTCCTCCAGTGCACCATTGGTGCAGTACCGGGCAGGATGATGGGGCTGTGAAGACCACAGAATACCAGATAGGACGACCAGCTGGGCCACCTTATCCTTTCCACCAGGCCCATGGCTTCATTTCACTGGAGAAACCACTGTCTGACTTTTTCTTTTCTTTTCATATGGTTCCTTTTGGGGTCAGTATATTTTGAGCACTTCTCTCTTCCCAGATACTTGATTTGCATATGTGATTTCTCAGGATTTGCTTTTCTTTGGAAGCTGTACAGGCTGAGAACTGAAAGGGGAAGTCCAAGCCCTTTGTTTAATGGGATAGAAGAAGAGACTCTAGGCTCTACCAAACACTCCATCAGTTCTTTATGAAAGAGAACTGTGATGACTGAGGTCAGTACATGGGGTGGTGTGTAGCACTGGAAAGGGAGCAATGCAGAGAGGCTTGAGCAGTGAAGGAGGTGCAGGGTGAAAGGTTTCTCCAGGAGAGAGAAAGTTTCTTGGGCAGCTGGAGGGACCACTGGCACAACATGCCAGATGGAGAGCAGATGGTGGGAAGGGGTATAAAGCACAAGGGCAGAAAGAGCAGATCAGGAGCTCTGATCTTGGTGCAGAGGGTCTTTAGGCAGTCAGGTTGAGGGGGAAGCTAGTCTGCCCCAAATCTTAGGATTCTTACCTCCTGCTGGGAATTAGCCACATTCCCTGTTCAAGAACCAGGGTAGGATGTGCTGAAGATGGTTCTGGGATGGAAACAGGAATGCCTGGGCCAGATGTGTAACTGCTTGGATACCAGAGCTGCAAATCCCATTTCTGAGCACATCTTCCTCAAACCAAAATGCAGTACCCTACCCCCCTTCCAGTCCTTCCCCTCAACCTTACTCCACCCTGCTTCCAGCTGTGAACTGCTTATGTCCAATTTTATGTGCTAAAAATACCTTTCTGGGCAGTCAGCAAATGCACAGCCAAACAGAGGACGTTGGCAGTCTGAGCATGAAGGGGATTTGGGAAGTATTTAGGTTTGGTGTGGGCTGCAGCACCAGGCCAGGAGGACCTGGATGGCCTGAGCAGTGGGCAGAGGGCTGGAGATTTCCAGAGGACTTGCATCACTGGGGCAATGCCAAGGCAGAGTCTTGCCTAGCTTGGATGTGTGCTTCTGGGGAGAAGATATGTGCGAGTGGACTCAGAAAGGTGGGAAGATGTTCCCTGTGGAGAGCAGTCAGCAGGCCCTGCTCCCTCCCCTGGGAAGAGGTGTTGTAGCAGTCATAGAAAAGGGATTATCCAGCCCTCAGGGCCTACCCCTGCTCTGCCCAGAACCCAGGAATGCTGTCCTGGGTACCCTCCAACACTTTGGGCTCTCCCCTGTCACAGCTCTGCTCTCAGCACACCTATCTTGGATCAGACCTGGAAGCTCCTCAGGCCACCGTAGGGGCAGAGGTGGTAGCCTTGTGCTAGACTTTGTAGCCTTGGGTGACCAGTTGCACAAGAGGGAGTCCCTGTCCCTGCCACTGTCACCAACTGGGTGACAGCAAAGATGCCCCAGTGCCACCCCTCTCTCAGGCCGACAAAGCTCCCTGCAGACCTCCCAGATATTTTACAGGGTCTAAGACAGACCATGATAACTGATCATGACCAGGCTGTCACCTGTCATGATCAGGGCTGATCCCTCTGCACCCCAGCACTACTGGGGCTCCCCTCACCCTCCTTCTGCCTATGGGTCTGGGGTTCTTCCCCCAGCTCTGTAGATGAGCTGTAGGGGTTTAAGACATCTGTGTTCTATCCTCATTTTTGGGAAAGGGGCTGGAGGATTCCTAATTTCAGGGTGGCATGGAGTGGGGGCCATTGTCTCGTTGATGGCACTGGAAGATCCCTGTGTGGAAGGAGGTTTGGGCATGGTAGGGTTGGGAAAGTCGCTGGAGAAGTGAGGAAGAGCTCACAGCAGGGTTCAAGACTGAGTTCTGGCATCTGGATCCTGTAGGCATTTTCCAGTTCTCCCTGCCAGAATATGCTCTACGTTCTGGAAGCAGAGGCTGCAGCCCTGACTGAGGCAGACTCTGTATCCTGGAGAGGGACCAGCACCATGTGGGGACCCAGGTCACACAGGGTCATGTGCTTGTGCTGTGCAGAGAACAGACCACTTCCTGGCTTTCCCAGGGATGGATCTGCTGGGCTACCCTCTTCAGGCCTGAGCCTGAACCAGCAGCTTTGGGTTGACATCCCAGCCCAGCTGCAGCCCACACCCATCACCTGACCAACATCTATAGGTACAAGCAACTATAGGTCCATCTATAGGTATTGACCAACGCCACCATCTATAGGTACAACCCACACTGGGCTCCCCTGGGACAGGTGTGAGGTAGGGAGGAGGATAAGACCCTGATATGCTACTGTTGTTTGTGAGTTCTGACACAGTAATAGACATTACTATAGGGGAACATGGTGGCTGTGCTAGCAGTGCTTTTGAAGCCTCAAAAGCTTTTGATTCTTAAAAGCCACAGCAACTTCTCCTTTTCCTTGTGGTTTTGAGCCTCCAGTGTTCTTCTCTATCAGAAGTAAATCTGATTGTAAATTTCAGGTGATTTGGGTTTTTCTCTCTTCAGTCCGAAAGCCTGAGTCCTGGTAGCTCTTCAGTGACCGAATGGTCCTTCAGGAAACAGCCCATCAATCACATTTGCAATGATATTGAATTCAATGCACATGGCTGAGTATGCTGGCTTTCAGTATTTCTTCAGCATTTTTCTAGTGGATGCTATACACCAAGAAAACAACAAATATCAAAACAATGATAAATTTCTAAGGAGGGAGAGGCCAAATGCAGATTTCCAGGCCTTGGGACAGGGGTAAAGAAATAAACTCATCAGGGGCAATAGGAAGCCTGTTGTACCCCTTGTGATTTTTTGATGCCTGGCCGTTGAAAAAAAAACAATTCCAAACCAATTCAATTGGTTTTACCTCTTTCACATTCCAGGGAGAGTAAGTGAGAGTCTGTGCCTAAATCTGGGATTTTATCAGGACATGACCCAGTGAGTGCTGTCTGTGGCCGTTCTCCTGGGTGCTTGCACTGTTGTTGACTGCACAGGAACAAGAAAAATCTGGTTCCCCAAGGACAGAGATCCAGCAAGGAAACAAGAATGACATGACTTAGTGCTGCTGTTCCTCTTGCTGAAAGCTTTCTAAAAGGCTTCACCCAGTAACCTCACAACAGCTACATGTGACACAGCTGGACTTGATGTAATGATGCTCCCAAATGGACTTTAGGAGACATCTAGTTTGCAGAAACTCATTGTTGCTTGTTTACTGGGATAATACAGATAGATGCATCAAGCACTGTCCTGAGGATGGTGGCTCCTGTGAAAGGATCTTCCAGGGAACTCTGGGCCAATGAGTTCCAGCTGAGTGGTGAAAAACACCATGGGTGACAGCACCCATACCCAGAGCACTGGTAGTATTGCACCATAAGGCACTGTGCTTGTCTATCTAGGAAAACACAGAGAGACTCTGTAAAGAATTGAAAGAGGAATGGCCCAGGAGAGCTGCAACATCACAGGGAATCAGGAAAGTCATGGAAGCTTGAAGCTGTGCAAGAGTTTGTGAGCTGAAAAGGGGCTCAGAGAAGAGCTTGGTGGTGACATCTGCAGGAGACTAGGGGAGCGTGAGCATGCCCCAAGTGGAGAGCACTTAGGGAATTCTCGCCCATACCCAAAAACCCTACCTGAGCTCAAAAGTAACAGGAACAAGACACCTCCATCCATCTCCAGGACGACCCTTTTATCCCCACACTGTCCTTATCAAATGTTTCCCATCCTAAAAGACACCGGCAAAGAGCAGCTCAGGGCAGGAAAGGTTTGGAGAAGAAAGGAAAAGAGAATACTTGCAGGTTCAGGAGGTTGTCTGATCTGGAAACTCTACTGGTGGAAGTCAACAGCAAGAATATTGCAGCTGGATTTGTTCAAGGTAATAAGAAGAGAGATTTTTGGAAGTATTTAAAAGATATGCAGATGTGGTATTTAGGGACATGATTTAGTGGTGGGCTTATTGTACTGGCTTAGTGGTTAGACTTGATGATTATGTAAGTTTTTTCCAACATAAATGGTTCCGTGATTTGAAAGAGAAAGTGATACATGATGAGAGCAGCCCAGGATGGCCTTGGGCACATTAATGAGGGGTGTGTTCCTCAACATCCTCCACTGGATCTGGAAAGAGAGAGGAGAGGGACAGATATGAGAAGGTTTTGGAGGTGCTTGTGGGAGCAGAGCTATGGGAACCTGAGGTAACCAGGGAAAAGGCTGGACTAAGACACCTGTGAGACTCATGGAGCCTGTACCCACTGTCTGTGAGAAGATGCGTGAGAATCAACACTGTGGCTGGTGGGACGCTCTCTTTCCAAAGAGGAAGCTTGTGCCACATGTGATTTCCCTGTGGGGCTGTCTCATTTCTGTGTGAGTGCCTCTCCTGTGCAGGGTTGCACGGACACCTTTCCTGAGCAGCTCACACTGAATCCTGTCTGAGGACTTCATGCCAGCATGGCCCTGCCAGCGCTGTCTCTGACATTCCTCCTGGCCCTTGCTCCTCTGCTGCTTGCACAGGGACAGATGCACACCCCTGTGACTCCGCGGGAAGCAGGTAAGAGTGGACTGTGCCTGTCTCTTACAAAAATAGTTTTGCTGCTCCTCTACCTGTGTATTTGCTATGTGGCCTTACCCTGCTCAGCCCACAGCCGAGCTGGGAGGGGAGGGCTGAAGCTGGTATATGCATATGCCTGAGACACTCAGGCATCCTTCAGGTTGTGGTGCGACAAGCTCTGATGGGGTGGAGGGTGGCAAGTCTCAGTGTGCTAGGAAACTTCCATGAGCGTGAGACTTGCAGTGTCCCTCTAGGAAGAGGGTAATGTTGCTGGGAGCAGGAGGTGGCCAGGTCTTTTTATGCAGCAGACAGATGAATCCAGGGCAATCAGAGCAGTGATGGCCTTTCTGGGCAGTTCAAGCAGCACCCCTGTCACAGGTGATGATGGTGTTCATCAAAGACATGGGGAGTTGTGAGCTCTGTTAGCTGGGATGCCTGCTCTCTCCTATAGTCCCTGGGGTTGAGGGAACTGTAGTTTGGTGGAATAGTTCACATCAAGAGGCTTGTCCTGTTTTTTCTCCATGCCAGGATGGGGCATGCCCAGGTAGGGGCAGCTCCTGGGTCTCTGCTAGGCTTTTCCTACAAAAATGTGGGCTTTCCTGTGGTGATTATGTGCTACACCCTGGGCTTGCTGGTACCTGTTGAGGTCCCCATGGGCCACAGCATGGGTAGGGAACCTGAGCTGTGGGTATTCTCTCTGTAGGGAAATGGGAGCAGAAGTGGCTAACCAAATCATCAGATGGGTCATGAGTCATGCTGCCCATCACTGGTGGATCAAGGGATGCTGCACTTCCAGCAGTGGGCAGCTCTCAGCTATCCAGGGCAAGATGGAATCTCTTCTAGTCTGTACTCATGTCTGAGACTGACCCAAAAGGATCCTGGATGCCACCCTTGGGCAGGGTGTGTGTTACTTCAGAGTGTTTAATGGCAGAAGGGGTGAAGGTATGTGAGGGGGATGCCTGATGAGGCTGCGATCAAATCAAGGGTTCCATGTCTGACAGGTAGTTTTCTGTCAGTGAAGTATGTGCTCTGAAGGCACTGGGAGAGACACTGTTGAGGGGGAAGAAGTTTCGTGTCTGCATCATGTGGTCTAAAAGGATGGGGCTGGTGACCACTGTCCTTTGATGTGGAGAGCTGGGGAGAGGGTTGTGATGATGGCGTGGAAACCTGCTGCCAGAAAAGGGAAGTGGTGAGTGCTGGCTGTCAGGAAGTGGGCAGTTGTAGCTGAAGAGAGGTGTTTCATCCTCCTTCAGGAAAGACCACCTCCATGCCCCCTGCCTCCTCATGGACTTGTTTTGCACAGAGTGAGCAAGTCTAGGTGACATGTCTGCCAGGACACGACAAGGCAGACTCATTCTGGGTGAAGTGCAAAGGCTGGGCTGAAGTGCATTGAGCAGGGTGTAGGCTTTGTGGCCACTGGTGTGAACACAGGTGGTCTGCGGGGCAGACTCTAGTTGAAAGTTTCTTTCACTCTTTTGTGAAATCAGCTTTTGTGGAAAAAGCTGATTAACACACAGAGTCTAGGTATTTGGTTTATTTACAGTTCTGCACAGAAAGTTGTGCTAGGTGGCAAGTCCACACATCCAGCACATCGAGGCAGACAAAAGCTAGTATACACAGACACAGTCCTTGGCTATTAGTATATCTTACTGAAATCACTGCTTGCCTGCGTTACTATGACTCATCCTTTCCCTTCTTCACTGTAAAAGCACAGTGTTCCAAGAAATCATGGTACATGCTAGGAGAGTGGTGGTCTTTTTGAGAGAAGGAGGCAAATGAACTGAAAACGTGGGGTTTTTATGACAATTAAGAGCAGGGATTCATCACTAGGGTGATGAATAACGTAACAAAAGTCGTCAAAACTGGGTGTTTTCTAGCTCTAGGTAAACATCATGGATGAGACGGGTGGGGTTTTTTTGTTTTTCCCCTTTCAAGGACTTAGACGATTCATTTTCTGTCTGCCTCATTCCTGTAGTTATTGCTTCCACTGCAGAATTACTTTATTCTTTCATTTGTTACCTGCACCTTTACTCCTGTTATTCACCATTGCTACTGGCAGTCACTTCATGGGACCAAGCTGTGGAGTCATGAATGGCAGCAGACACTCTCTGGGTCTGGAGCACTCCCACAGCCCCTGTATTTGTGGGACAGAGCAGCATCCCCCAGGCTGCTGGATGCCTCTGGCTGGGGTGTCTCTGCAGAAGCGGGTGGGCAGGAGGGCCTGTGGATAACCCTCCTGCACTGCCCCTGAGGGTGTGAGGAGGGATAAAGCACCTGGGGGATGGAGCTCATCCGGGGAGGTGCTCTCTCTGCCACCCCTCTGAAGAGAGGGGGACTGGCACCCCTCTGGATGGAACACCCTCCCCCATGAGGATGCTGCTGGAGCCCAGTGACCCTCAGGCTCTGCCTCCTGGCCTTTGCACACAGGAAAATGTAAAGCTCCCTCTGACTGGGACCCCAAACTGCAGTTTAACCCGAAGAGGAGCAGCTATGACTTGAACGAAGTGGTGCGGCTCAGATGTGCTGGAGAGGTTTTGCCATCTGTACCACAGATTCAATGCATTTCCAGAGGGGCCCAGACCGTGTGGAATGAGACTGCCACCTGCAAAGGTAAGCACAGCCCTGCACCACCCTGACCCAGGGTCCTGAGCTGGTGACAGACCCTCTGTGACCTGGTCATGCATGTGACAGTGCAGGAATGGGAGGCCTTGGCTTTCCTCCATGTCCTGGCAGAGACAATGCTCTTTTTGTCTCAGCACCTTGCTGTAGGAACCTGGTCTGTGCTCCTGGGGAGAGGAATCCTTCCCAGCCAGCATCTCCTGCCTCAGCATGGAGTAGGAATAGCTGCAGGAGCTCTGCTTGTTTGCCTGGAAAGATTCTCTAGGGTTTGGGTTTTCTCTGGTGTGGGAGGCTGTTATTGCAGCATGGCTCCCCTGTCCATGAGGGAGACAATAAAATGGCAGCTCAAGCACCCCATGGAGGGGATGGAATCCAAGGAAGGCTTGTCAGTCTTGGAGAGGAGGTGATGAAGAGCCCTGTGTTCTTGGAGTGCCTGGGCTCATGACACTCTTATGTGTTGGGGTGAATAGTCAGAGAGACCTGTCCCCTGTCTCCTCTCATAACCTCCCAAAAGTACTCCTCACCCAATTTTACCTCTGACAGAAACATGCCAAAGGCCTGCTTGGTGGGACCCCAGGCTCCAGCTGGCTCCAGCCCGTGACAGTTATGCAGAGAATGAAGAAGTGTCTCTGAGGTGCCACAATGGTTTCCAGCCATCCTTCACCCACGTCAAATGTGCAAACACAGTTCAGCCATTGGATTATTCTGGATCTCTAAAGGAAGACATGTGGCTGGGGAGAAAGAACAGTGGTGTGTGGATTCATGTTCAGGGGAACATAGTGTGCATTGGTAAGCAGGGTGTCAGAAATGTTTCTTACCAAGGTGTGTGGTCAATTTGTGCCCCGCCCATCTATCTCCATCACTGTGGCCAGGGACGTAATTCCAATGCCTTGTCGGGGCTGCTTGGATCTCAGGCATTTGATACCTGAGATCATTCTCCTACTGAATTCTGGAACATCGTTGTCCACCATCTGCCTGGACAGGCCTCAGCCCCAGCTGAAACTCACGCACGAGAAAAGCCCCCTCCCAAGCAGACTTGACAAGGTGTCCCATCATAGCAGAGGATGTGTCACCTTCCCTTTCCTTTCAGGGGCTAGAGGCACTGCTGGGGATTGCTGAGTCCCCACCACATACCCTGCTCCTCCCTGAAACCTCTCAGCCCAACTAACACCCACTTTCATCTCTGCCAGAAACATGCCAAAAACCCCACTGGGACTCCAGACTCCAGCTGGCACCAGACCAGGAGAGCTACAAGAAGAATGAAGAAGTTATGCTGAGCTGTCCCAAGGGTTTCCAGCCACCCTTCACCCATGTCAAATGTACAGGAAAAGTTTTGTCTGTTATCAATGGAAAACCTTTACACAGAGAAGCTTGGCATGGAAGGGACAGCAGTGGCAGTTGGATCAGCATTCAGGCCAGCCCAGGAAGGGTTCAGTGCCTTGGTAAGGAGGCATCAGGAGCATTCCTGACTTCCCTGCTCTGCCCTTCCTGAGCAGGGAAGGCAGGCTGTGGGGGCACAGGAAGCTTCTGGCTCTGTGTACCCGAGGAAATGACAGGTGAAGGCTGTGTTGAGGCAGCTCCTGAGTCTGCCCTGGGATTGCAGGGGTGCCCCGGTGGAGATGGCTGATGCCAGCTTTAGTCCCTGAGGGTCCTGGCAGGAGGGAGTTTTGGTACAAAGGTCCCTACCTCGATACCGAAGTAGCCATTTTGGCACCAGCACTGCCCATGGCACAGGAGGTCAGGGACCAGGCAGGGCTTCAGGCTTTGTTCACACACACTAGGTCGGGTGGTGTATTTCCCTGAGGTCTCCCTAAGGGCTTCTGGCAAGAGCATGTGCCGAAAAGTCAAGGGCACATGTGTAGGTCTGACAGGTGTTTGTGGCACAGGTGACAAGGGTAAAGGCGTGGCCCTCTCCTCATGTGCTGATCCCCCCTCCCTGCCCGTGCTGCATGCTGTCACTGCAGAGCCAGCTTTGGGGGCTCAGACTTTATGCCTTCTCAGGAAGAATCAGGGTGTTGTCGTCCTGCCTGAGGGACAAAGAGGGCACCAGAGTCTCTGGGCAGGCTTTGTGCACAGTACAAACCCCTCATGGGTTCCCCTGACTCCAGCCCCCCCTGGCCCTTCCTATGAGCCCTGGGAAAGAAGTTTGGAGTCCTTCTTTGTCCTCATCCTCTTGCCAAGAATTGATGTGGAAGGGCTGCTCTGTGCAGTGTCCTGAAGCTCAGCTCTCACCCTGACGGGCCAGGGAAGGGGATGCCCTGCTCCAATCTCTGGCTTGCCCTGCAGAGCCACACTTCCCAGCTAACACCTTCCCATCTTGTTGGTGCAGGAAAATGCCAGAAGCCCCAGTGGGACCCCAAGTTAATCTTTGAGCCAAACCACGGGAACTACAACCCAAATGAAGTGGTGAAGATAAGGTGCCCTGAGGGGTACTGGCCTCCGCCCATGGAGATCAAATGTGTGACATTGAAGCCAAGAGAAAGTTATGTGATTCCTCGTAGTGGCTGGGTAGTGAAGAACTCCACAGACACCTGGCACCTTATGGAAAAGAACTTGACCTGTGTAGGTAAGTGAGCCAGACACTCTACCACTGTTCTCAGTCTGTCCTCCCCAGGCGTGGAGAGCAATTCAGCATCAGTGTCCTGCGCTTGGGGTGGTCAGGGTATGGCAGAGAAATCCAGAGAAAATTCTGGATGCATCCCAGGTTTGTGTCTGTCCTGTTGGCACCTCTAGCATGTGTAGTCTGGGAGAAGGCAGAATGTCCTTGTCCACTCTGTGCTAGGGACAGGCAAGTGAGGGAATGGTGGGGTTCATGGAGTTTGATGTCAAGGCTTGGATGGGAAGAAGGGAGGGACTGATCCTCTTGGAATGCTCCCTTCACAGAGGTCCTCCAGGTTGTCCCTGAGACCCTGAAGGTTTCCAGCACCAGCATCAAACTGAACTGGACCTGCATGCTCCCTGACATGTGCCAGCATATTCGGGCCAGGTGCCGGCTGGAGCGGCATTCCTCCTCAAACTGTGAGGCTGAGGAGGTGAAGGGAGAGGAGACACTACAAGGCCAAGAGGGAACTTTCACCTGCTCTTCTCTGCAGCCCTTCACAGTCTACAGTCTCACCATCTCCCTGCTGCCTAGCACAATCTTGTACACACGGCTCCTCATAACAAAGGAAATGGGTATGTTTACATGAAATGTCAGGATGCCCTTCACCCTGAAGCTCAGCCAGAGCATCTGCTCCTTTCTGTGATGTTCCTGGGATCAGAACTGCTTGCAGCCTGTGGGGGTCTGGGAAGGGGCTGTGAAGGGCCCTACAGCAGGGCATTCCCCCTCACCACACCATTGCTGCTGCAGAGGCACAAGCAGCCCTTGTGGGGGACAAATTGCTATCCATGCATGATCCTGTTCTTCTGTGCTTCCAGTGCCGGACAAACTGGAGAAGTTGTGGCTGGATTCCGACAGGGGCGCTCTCAGGTGGAAGGCGCCACCCTCCTGCAAAGGAGAGATCATTGGATACCAGGTACCAGGAGTCCATGGAGTGTCCGTGGTCTCCCTCACCTTGCCTGGAGCTCTGTGCAGGCAGCCCGAGTAGAGGTGTGAGCCCTCCTTCGCCAGGGCCCACAGGCTGTACACTGCTAGTGTTCCTGGTAGGGCCAGGTCCCCTCTTGTGCCCAGCCAGCAGTAGCAGCCCCTCTCCACAGAGCTGCCCAGTGCAGAAGCAGGATGTTGGTGCTACTGCCTAGCAGCTCGTGTCCTTCTTTCAGCTGAACATCACCACCATGAGAGCAGCAGATGGCAGCTTCCTCGAATTCAGTCAGGTGTTGGTGAATCAGTCTGTCTCTGAGTATGTGCCACCTCATCAGACAGCTGGCAGCAAATACCTGGTGACAGTGCAGGGCCTGACAGCAGCTGGGGCTGGGGCTGCATCACAGCTGGAATTCCAAACCTACGCCCGGGGTAATGGTTGTTCTGCCCTGTGTCTGGTTGGGGTGGCCTCTCAGGTGGTGAGTACTGAACAGCTCCTGGACCTGTGTGTGCAACCACAGGGCAGACAGGGGCAGGGAGTGTGGGCACCTGGCTCAGGAGTGGACATGAAGCTGGGTGAGTCCTTCCTTGAGGGCTTTCATTGGCAGGGCCGCAGAGGAGCTGCACCACTTCAGCCGCTCTTTGTGCCTTTGATACCAGACCTGCCCCCTCTACTCTACCACTGAAGAAGGTGACACCCATCCCTGCATTTAGGTGCACAGGTGGCTCAAGGCTGGAGAGCCTTAGGGCTGCTGAGCCTGGGTCTGTGTCCTGCTGCTGTGTGCAGGATGGCTGAGCAGGCTGCCAGGCCCTCCAGCCGGGGCCATGGGACAAGGCCCTGTGCTCCAGAGCCTACCTCTACCCTGCCCAGGCATATGTGCAGGCAGGGGAGGACTGTCCCGGTGTCTGTCACTGCAGCAGCCAGGGCAGCAGGCTCTGGACACGCATTTGTACCCCCGTGCAGACACTCAGCAGCGAGGCTGGGGCCACTGCTGGTGCACGGCCTGGCTGTGACACCCCTCCTCTCTGTGTGCTAGTTGAAGGGCAGCCTCTGGGCCCTTGGCCTCAGTCAGCAGTCATTGCAGTGGTGGTGGTGCTGCTGTTGTTGATCCCCTTGTCTGCCGGGATCCTCTGGTTCGTGTTCTGCAGGTGAGTGGCAGGAGATTTGGGTCTCGGCTCTGTCTCAGGCCGTGTTGTGCTGTGGGGTGGGTGGGGATGGAGAGGGTTCCCCAGCTGCTCCCACCCTTCTCTGGGTGCAGAGGATGCAGCTGGCTGCTCCTGACACGAATTGGCTCTAGGGCTCCTGGCTGGGGCTCTAAGTGTCTTCCTCAGGGGCAGGGCCACGTGTGCTGAGACCCTTTCCCCTTGTTGCTGTTGCAGCCATCGCTGCTGTCCCCTGGGGTGGGCAATGCCTGCCAGGGCACAGGGAGGGAGGGAGGGTGTGCAGAACCCTCCATGCCACTGCTGCTGGGTTCAGCAGGGTCTGGCCCAGGTCAGCCTCTCCCTGACTCAGGACTGCCCTTTGCCTTCCCAGAAAAAAGAGGGCCTTGCCCAGCAAAGCCGAGGAGGATCACTACACAGGTAGGACCCTCGGCACATAGGGGAGCTGGGGCTGGGAGGGCAGCAGGTATATTTCAGGAGGGCCTGGTGATATTCTGAGGTAGCTCCAACCAGCCCAGCTGGCTTTAGCTGACCTGTCAGACCAACGTGTCCCACACCTATTCCCAGCTGAGACCCTGCTCAGTAGCCTCTTCCAGCAGCTCCTGGCTGGGGTCTCCCTGAGGTGCCACTGAGGGCACTGAGGGGAACTGCTACTCCTTCTCACTCTCTCTGGGGTAGGCAGCAGCTCTTCCCAGCCCTGCTGTTCTGATGGTGTGCATCCCAGGATGATCTGCAGCCCCCAATGATGCTGCCTGCCTGGGGCTGCCCTGCTCCTTCTCCCACAGCCCCCGGGTCCCTCAGGCTGTTTCTGTCCTCTTGTCCCCTCCAGAGCTCCAGCCATATGAGAATGTACATGGGGATAATTACTGCGTGATCAAGACTTTTCTTGAGAAAGACGCAGGTAGGAAATGCATTGTCCTGCCTGTGAACGCCACATGGCACAGAGAGAGTGGGGACTGGCAGCTGTGATGGTGTGTCTGAGCTCCTCACACTGCTGAGGCCATGCAGCAGCCTCTGCCCTGGCTTCTCTTTTTCTCTCTAAATGAGGAGAGGAGTAAATATGGCCAGGCTGGAGAGCCATTTCCCAAGCCCCTGCCTGTTCTGGAATCCTAGGAGAGTCAGAGCAGGGAGGAAGAAGAGCAGCTGGAGTGGACATCTGAGGACATCTGAGTGATGGCACTTCCCTTCTCAAGGCTTGGTCCTCCACCACCAGAAACACTGAATCATCTCATGGGTTACTGCTTCCCCCCAGATTTTCTTCTTCATCAAACTCCAGAATCCTCTGTCACAGCACAGGAGCAGCTCAAGGCAGGGGATGACCTGCTTGTGCCAGCAAGGATATGTCCTGGTAGTTCTCTAGTGCTCCGGCATAGCCATCTCACCAGCATCTTGGTGCCTGCAAATGTCCTCTGAGAATGAAGCAGCTCACAACTCCTCTTTTCACCCTGTGTTCTTGTACCCATCTAGACCCTGTCCTCTGCTTGAGTTTGGCCTAGCTGTGCTGCCCTGGCCGCTGTGCTGCTGTGTCTGAAACAACCAATAAATTGTTCTGGTGTGCAGATGCTGCCTGGCCCACAAAAGCTCCCGCCTTGTTTTGTGTGTGAAAGCCTTGACCCCATCAATCTTCATGGAGGAGCTTGGAGTAGGCTTTTCCAGCCCCTGGCAGCTCCAAGGAAGCACACCTGAGGTGCTGCATGCTCCCAGTGCAATGCTTTGGGCGGCTGCTTTCCCTCCTCCCCATCCTATAGGTGACACCATCTCCACTATGCATAGCTGGACCTCTGTGTTGGTCTGTGTCTTCCTCTGGGGGTGCTGGTGCTCATCCCCCATTTTGTGAGGTGCATTTTGCCCTCTTGGGATATCTGTGTCCTGCAGCCTTTGGGATCTGCTGGCTCTTGGCTGCTGCTGCTGTCCCGTCACCTCCAACAGCCACTGTCTCCCACCCTGTGGGATGCCAGTGCCCAGTGCAGCCTGGGTGCCGAGGCACAGTCCAAAAGCTCTCCTTGGAGAGGGGGGCACTGCTGAAAATGGGGCCATCAACCTCTCTGTTCCCCAGCTCTGTGAGTTGCCCGAGATGTTTCCATCTCCTTCTCCTGCCCTTGAGCACACGGGCTCTCCTGAGTTCCTGGACTCAGGTGTGACAAGCTGGTTTTGGTTGTGCTTTTTACAGCCCTGAACACAGAGCTATCATGTTTTTTGCTTCAGTGTTATCTCTCTCCCCTGTCAAACATGCCAATACCCAGTGCAGCCTGGAGGCTGTGGGGCAGCCTGAAGGCTCTCTTGTTGAGGAGTACCCTGCCAGAACATAGAGCAATTGACCTCTCTCTTCTCCAGTTTTATTTTTTTTTCAGCCTGGCATGACCTGCATGTGCTGGTAAAGACATGCTTTGACAGTTCTTCATATGAGGTGTCTGCCCATCAGCTCAGTACCTGCAACTGGCCCCTGGAACCAAAATATCTCCTCCTGTGAACTGTTGCTAGTGTGATGTGTGTGCCTGATGAAGCAGCTCTTTGTGGGTATTGGGCAGAGGGGAGTAGAGCAACTCAAGGTTATGTGGCTGCTGCTGGTTGAGAAAAGGGAATGAGCAGGCTTGGGATAGGGGAGAACAGTTGCTACCTCCTCGGCTACCCAGGCTCCCACTCCATACCCCCATACCCAGTCATACCCCGTGCTGTCAGCCTCATGACTGCGGCTGCTCTGTCTGGACAGTCAGTAAAAGCTTGTGGTTTGATGGAGCTGCCTGCTGCCCCCAGCTCCTGCCTAGTCACCTCAGTGCCCTTGTGAGGTGCTGTTCCCTGAGTGTGCTAACTGCACCTTGTTGAGAGGAGCCATGAGCAGGGCACCCTTTTCCCTGGGCAGGAGTGTGTCCTGTGCATGTGCCACAGGCAAAACTGAGGGACAGGTATGGTCTCTGTGCCTCTGCAGCCCCCCATGTCTGATCACCCAGGCAGCCCTCTGTGTCTGATCACCCAGCCTTCTCGAATTTGAGACATCCAAAGTGGATGGGAGGTTCTGGAGGAAAAGTGGTGGCTGCTGACGAGCAAGGAGCGTGTACTGTGAGTACAGTGAGTGCTTTCTCAAGCACACAGCTGGCACTGTACGGCAGCATGGTCTGCACACTTAGGGACAGAGGAGAGTGCTGCCAGGCTGAGAGGGAGCAGGAGGAGGAGGCAACTGAGGATAGAGAAGCGGGGAAGGATGAGAGAGAGTGTGGGTTGAATGTTTCTTTCAGAAGGGCCACAGACTGTTTCAGGCATTGAAGTACTCCTTGCAGTTCATGTCCCCATACCTATCTGTGCTTCTGACCAGGTCTTTATGTGGTATTTCAAAGGTCCTCCATCTCCTGTGATCATTGAGGGGAAGTGACTCATCACCACTCTAAAACCCACACAGTGTCAGGAAGCACTTGGATATTACCTCAGAAACAGGAGTAACACTTCTTGAATGCCCTGGTAACTAGGACGGTTTTGGGAGGCAACTCCGGGATTTTGGTGACAAGGTTCCTTCTGTTGAGCCCCAGAGCCTGGATACTCATGGGGCAAAAAGATATCAAAAGGCAGAAGTGCTGACAGTGATGGGAGGTTCCCTGCCAAAAGAGGAAGCATCCTGCATCTCATGAGGAGATGTGTCTGTTTCCTTCCTGTGGTTGCAAGCCTTGCAGTCAGATGCGGATGCCTGGGCTCAGAAGCAGCGAGTGGGGCTGAGATTTCAGTCCTGACTGGGGACTTCACGCTAGGATGGCTCTGCAGACCCTGACTCTGAAGTTTCTCCTGGCCCTTGCATCTCTACTGTCAGCACATGGCCAGGAAGAACTTTTCAACATCCAAATAGTGCCCCAGGGAACAGGTAAGAAGTGGTTCTTCCTCTTGGAAACTTCTGCTGCCTTTCCTCCTCTACACTGGATATTCATCTTCACTGCTGCAGCCCTGGGCTGGAGGCCAGATGGACCCCTGAGGGCTGTGCCAGCTGAGGCAGCCTCTGTCTGCCCCAGGGACAGGAGATACAATGCAGTATACACTGGGGCTGTGTGGGAGAAACAGGACTGGGCTGGGCTCTTCAGAGAGGTGTCACTTGCTATACATATCCTGTCCCCAGGTGTGCCTGAAGGACACAAGCTGCTGCTTTGCCAGACAGCTGGATCAGGGCAGGATCAGTGACTGGGTGGGTGCCTGAGCACAGGGTGGGTGATGGTCATGTGCCAGGGGGACAAAGCTGCTGGCTGTGGTGCTCAGCTGGGTGTCACGGGTCCTCTGCCACTAGGGCTATTTGAGAGCAAAGCCTGAGCACAAGTGGCTGGTTCCCAGCATTTTCTTTTGTGGCAAAGGTGCTTTTCACCTTGTGAGAATCCTGCGCATTGTGTGCCCCTTTGGGAGAAGGAAGATTGTATTT